CCACATTTGAATCTTTAGGCGTTCTTTATAAAGACCAGTTTCCTCCCAGTCAGGAAGGGTTACTGCAGCAACCAAAGACCCTTGTACTCCTTCCCAACTCTAGAGGTGAAGGTGTTCACTAATTACCTTCATCTGCAAAGACCATGTCTCTCTAAGCAGTGTGCCCTCAGCAGGACTTTTAAAAAACCTGCTGCAGGTTAAAAAGCAGACCTGCTCTAATTTATTAAAAGACTTGGCATTTTTTTTTTCCCCACTGAGCATTTTAAAATGCAATTAGACCAAATGGAATAATAATCAGGCAAAAGTACTCAGGAGTTTTCACACTGGGGGCCACCCTTTCTCTTGCTCTTTTCCATTTCTGGGCTTTATGTTGGGACAATATGCCCATGGGACATGGGAATGGCTTGAGGGATGTGTTCATGGCAGCTGCCGGCTCTCTGGATTCAACCAAGGTATCTCCACCCCAGCCTTTCTGGATGTCAGGGGCTCCTCATCCTAACAATTCTGCAGTGTTCATGGATCAGTCTCCTGGTTTGGGACATTGAATCACATTTTCCTCCAGACCACGCCTGGGACATCTGCATTTTTAAACAAGTTGGCTAGGGAATTGTGATGCCCAGAAGCATCACACTGAACTCCAGGAAGGAGGTTCATATCTACCTTTTGCTTTCTTGTATACTGTGCCCTGACACAGTGTCTGGAAAACGGAAACACCTGATTTATTGCATGAATGAATGGAATTTCATGAGACCTATAGCGTTTCTTTATGGAAGACAAAAAGGAAGTACAATCTCACCTCACTCATCAAGGATAGGTATGAGGAAATGGAAGGAAAGGACATGTCAGGAAGCTCCTAGTTTTAATTAACACATTCAGGTATATACATAGTGCACAGGAATAAATTAAAGAGGTGAAGGGTTGATGGTTCTGTGATATTTATTTAAACGTCTCTGGGTGGTATCATCGGATACATTCCATCTCATCTCCCCACCCATCTCGTTTCCCCTCCCATCTCAGCTCCACCCCTCATCGTCACCGCCCATCTCCAGTCTGGATCATGTGCCCCTTCATGTGCCCAGGGAGCAGTTGCTGTGCACAGCTGAACATGTCTGATCAAAATATGCCAGTGTGCCCTTTTGTGCTGAGAGGGCCTGGGGTACAGGGTCTGTGCTTCATTTGCCTTTATGTCTCCAGGGCTTCACATGGGGCCTGCTCACACCTAATGGGCTTTCTATAAATGTTTGTCAAATCCATCCATCCATCCATCCATGCATCCATCCATCCATCCATCCATGTGGATTTCAGTAATTAAAACTGTTTTCGTTGTACCGGGATTCGTTGACAGAACAGTGAGTTCAGAGAGCATTGTGAGCCTCAGAAGGAAAGCTGTTCTTGCTTTACCAGCTTCTAACTGTCCTATTCCTTACCCAGCCCAGCCCTTCTCCTATGATTTAATGGGCAACTAATCAAATGAAGCCTTGTTCTCTAAAAATAAACCAGCCAGTTTGAAAAGGCTTGCAGTGAATTCCTTATCCAACCAGGGCACTTCACGCTGAGAGAAAGAAACCAGATTTGGGTATTGGCCAGATTAAATTTCCATTCAAATTCTCCTTCTCCTTTTCCTCCTTCTTTTCTTCTTACCTTCCTGCTCTCCTTCCTGACCTCCCTTCTTCTATCTCCCTGCCCCTTCCTTTTGTCCAGATTACTGCCCTCTGCACATGCACTGCGTCTGAAGCATGGTAACATTCTCTATCACATGTAACAGGCACCACATCAATTGCTCCAAGTTCAACTTTTTAAAAATTAAAAGGGAACTTGTCACCCAGGCAGTTTGTTTGCATTTCACACATCCTGGCATTTCTCTGACCCAGTACTGTTTTCCATGAGAGGCCCACCAATTTACTCTCCCTGGTCTATGAGAAAAGTCTTGGACATTTGAGCATGCAAATCAGACTCTCCTCCAGCTACATAAACACTGAGATGTCCATGCAATCCTTATTTAGCCGTGAACAAGGCCAGCTTCCCACTGGCCCCCTGAGAGCCAGGCTCACGCACACCTGTAGCTCCATGTCCCTGCTAGGGTGTATGTCTTCAGCATCTCTAAGCCAGGGTCTTGACACTCAGTCTACTGACAATTTTAACATACCTGGGAGAAGAGAGACCATGGGTTTGACCTTCTGGCTTTTTATTTCTAAGGAGGAGAAATTGTCTGGAGTCTCTTTTGTGGTGAATATTCATTTATTTGTCACCTGACCACCGCCATGTGTATGCCGGGCCGAGGCAGGGTGTGGGCTCTGTTGGCAGGGTATCCAGCTTCATGCCCAGGAACAAAGTCCATGCACATGGTCCTCCCATGCAATGGGCAGTGCAGCTCTCACCAGAATGGTCACAAGCTTGAATATCTAATCATAGAAACATTTGAGACCAGAGAATGGTTCAAAACTCTCTTATGGTGACTTCGTAGTCCTACGGAGCCAGCTTTGCATGGGTGCCTGGGAGCCTCCTTTCCTGCTGCCCTTTTCCTCTCTTATGCTTTCCTGGCCCTCCATTCAACCCCAGACTGGATCCCCATCTGGTCAAAGCCAAGAAGGCTGCTCTCTGGTGGATCCTCACAGTGGGGGGACCTTATCATTCCCCACAGTAGGAGGCAGAGGCCTTTCCTCCAGAGAGTGCATCATGAGACACACCTTAACTCTTGCTGGGAGTTCACCTTGCACTATTCCATAACTTTGGTGCCCTGATGTGCCTGAGGGTCTCCCTCCTCCACTAGAGATGTGGGAGAGAATGGACACGGAGGATGGATGGGGAGATCAGGGGAGGGCTGCCAGGCAAAACAGAGGAATGTTTTATCCCATGCAGTATTTGAGACATACACTGAAGCATTATTCGTCATTCATCTGAAATTCAAATGAAACTGGTATCCTGTGTATTTTTATTTGCTAAATCAGGCAACCCCTCTAGGAAGCACATCGCCACTTCAGGAAGATCACTCCTTACTTCCAGCCACCACCAAAAACGCTGATTCAGCTGGCTGGGGCTGAGCAGCACTGTTCAAAAGAGGAAACATTCCTTTGAAAAATGACTTTTATTTGGGACTTCCATTTGATTGAGTCATTATTATCCAGGCAAACCCATGGCAGAAGGAATGACTCAGTCTCCCAGTTCTCCACCATTCCTGTGGCCTCAGAAAAAGTATTTTATAAGATGGAACCACCCTCCCTTTCCCTTGTAGATTAGAGCTTTCCGTGCATATTTTCCGAGGACCACCATAACAAAATACACCGAAGTGGGTTGTTTAAACAAGAGAAATTTATGGTTTCTCAGTTCTGGAGACGAGAAGTCTGTCAAGTCTGTCAAGGCATGGGCAGAGTTGGTGCCTTCTGAGGCCAGTGAGGCGGCATCTTTTCCAGGCATTCCCTCAGCGTCAGGAGGTTCGCTGGCAATCTTTGTGTTCCTTAACTTATAGAAGCATTTTCACACAGTGTTATCCCTGTATGTGTCTCTGTGTTCAAGTTCTCCTTCTTTCTCTTTAAGCAGAGTTTCACTCAGTCACCCAGGCTGGAGGGCGGTGGCACAATCCTGTCTCACTGCAACCGCCACCTCCCAGGTTCAAACCATCCCCCAACTTCAGCCTCCCGAGTAGCTGGATTACAGGTGCCCACCACCATACCCAGCTAATTGGTATTTTTAGTGGAGATGGGTTTCACCATGTTGGCCAGGCTGGTCTCAAACTCCTGGCTGGCCTCAAGTGATCCGCCCACCCAAAGTGCTGATTACAGTCGTGAGCCACTGCACCTGACCCAAGTTTTCCTTCTTTTTTTTTTGAGACAGAGTCTCACTCTGTAGCCCAGGCTAGAGTGCAGCGGTGCAATCTCAGCTCACTGCAACCTCCACCTCCCAGATCCCGGTTCAAGCAATTCTCTTGCCTCAGCCTCCCAAGTAGGCGGGATTACAGGCACCTGCCACTATGCCCACCTAATTTTTGTATTTTTAGTAATGACAGGATTTCACCACTTTGGCCAGGCTGATTTTGAACTCCTGACTTCATGATCTGTCCACCTTGACCTACCAAAGTGCTGGGATTACAGCACCTGGCCAGTTCTCCTTCTTATAAGGAATGTGACTGGTAAGTCACATTAGATTAGGGCTCACTCTAAGGACCTTATTTTAATGTGACGAACTCTGTTAAGGTCCTGTCTCCAAATAAGGTCACATTCTGAGGCACTAGGGGTTAGAACTCCAACATAGCTTTCTTTCTGTGGATGGGGGAGGGAGGGATACAATTCAACCCCTAACACAGGTGCCTCAGTGTCATGCACATTTACATTTGCTGGGAGGATAAGGAGATGTTGGAGTCAGTGGTTTGGTTTCTTTTGCTGGCTTTGGATTGATAGTGATTTAAGGCTTTGGAGTAATGGAAGATAAACTGCTTGTCTCTGCCTACTCTGTGTTGCAGAAGATTGCATTTCCGTGTGAGGCCGGCCCCAGCGTGGCTCTGCAGAGGGCTTTTCCATTACCTTAAGAGCTGGTGGTGATAGACCCCATTAATATTCAGCCCTTTGCCCCCCACCCCCTTGCATTCCCTCAGCCCTCAGCACTTCCCTCTGACCCTCCAAGAGGTAACATCGGGGTTATTGTCCCCAAGAGACCTCTGCAGTTACTTGCCAGGGGAACCCAGTGATGCTAAGCTGAGAGTGTGTGCCAGGAGGGGCGTGGGTGGAGAAGGGAGCTCAGTGTGCAGATCTTCGCCCTCCCCCGTCCAACCCAATATTAGAATCAAGGGGAACTGCGGTGTCTGTTTGCCTCTGCTTGCTTCCCTCCTCCATGCGGATGCCGGGAGAACAAGATTCAATTCCTTGTCAGCTTAGGCTCTAAATTCTCATTTGTTTATTAAGAAATGACTCTGTTTTCTCCAGGGAGCCATCTATGCTGCTCTTCTGGACCCTGTCCATTACTAAAGAAATAAAAGGGGAGAAAGGTCCATTATTTGGCCGCGCGCATGTGTGTGTGTGTGTGTGTGTGTGTGCGTGCGTGCGTGTGTGTGTCTTTCAGATATCTGTATCACCAGAGAGAATGTATTCTTAAGCCTGTCCAGGAAATGTGGTTCTAAGAACAGCCTGCTAATTTGAGCATCTTCGGGGATTCAGGGATGACTGTATGATGAGGCTGTGTGATGTCCACAGACAGTGGCGCCATGGCGGTGGGAAGTGCGGCCTGCACTCGTCTGCCAGGGCTGCCATGACAAAGGACCACAGGCCAGGCCGCTTACCCAACAGAAATGTGTTTTCTCACAGTTCTGGAGGCCAGAAGTCCAAGATCAAGGTGTCAGCAGGTTGATTTGTTCTGAGTCTCTCTCCTGGACTTGCAGATGGCCAAGCTTCTCTGTCTGTCCTCACATGGTCTTCCCAATGCTCACTGATGTGTGTCCCAATTTCCTCTTATAAGGACACCAATTATATTGGATGAGGATCCCGCCAGTAACCTATTTAACCTTTATTAGCTCTATAAGGACCGTGTATCCAAATACTGTCCCCCATTCTCAGGTCTCAGGGGACTGAACCTAGGGAAAGGCACAGTTCAGCTCATAGCAGTGCCTCTGTAGGAGACTCAGTAGGAATTCAAATCTCAGGCTGGACCTTGCTCTGGGTAAGTGACCTTGGGGAAGAGTATCAGTTGGCGTTTTTTTTATGGTTGTTGTTAGCAACAGAAAACAATCCAGGCTCACTGGAGCAATGAGAATTGAATGAGATGATCTGGAGAGATAATGAGGCCATGGAAGGCTGGAGGACAGGAAGTAACCCTACCCCTTGGAGAGGGAAGAGGAAACCCCAGGAACTTCCCTTTGGTGGAACCCTCCCACCAGGGCTTGGTGGCTGAGGTGAGTGAACTCAAGAGTCCCAGAGGACAGCTGTCCTGCCGGGTTCCCCGTTGTGCCAGGACAGGAGGAGGAGGGCTCCAGACCCTTGACCTCAGTGATGGGAGTCAGGGAACAGGGTTCACCTTCTTCCAGGACCACCCAGAGTCAACAGGGGTGATTCCTCAGGAGAAAATCAGCAGCTATCAAAAGGGGAAATGGATGTTGGGAGGCCGAAACAATGACAGATATGTACTGCATAACATTTCCTTGCTTGAAAAAGAAGGGGCTGGATTGGAAGACCTCTATGCTCTCTCCTCATTAAACATTTAGTAAAGCTCTCCCATTACTGCTTTTTTGAGTTCTGTGCCTTTCTTTGTCTGGGGGTGTTGAGGTGTTTCACTAGGGGATGTTTTATTGCCTGCGGTGTCTCCCCTGGCCCTTGGTGTTCCCTGGAGTTCTCCTCAGTGAGGCGAGGGACTCTGTTTGCTCAGGAAGGTCACCGGGCTTAGACTGCTATAAAAAACCAGGGAACATCTTCCTGGTATAGATCAGTTTATTAATGTCTTCTTTGTGATTTGTACCGGTTGTAAATATTATATTCATTATAAATAATAATTCAACCTGCCATTCCTTCTCTGGTTCTCAGTCACCTTGTCTATAAAACAAGATGGTTGAATTAAATGATTATTAAGATCTCTTTCCACACTGGCCCTGTTGGATTCCATGAAAATTAAACCCCTCTGGGTAGACAGTCTATGGGGCTTGACTGTGAGGCATCCCCCAAGAACTTAGAAATGGGAAATACAATTTCCCTCTGAAAGAAAAATTATAAAACCAGCCAGCACCAGATCAAAGAAGGTCTATTTAAAGCCTCCTTATATGGACAGGATGGATTTCAGACCAGAGCGGCCTGGACTGCCAGCAGGAACATCCTGAGGGACAGAAGGGCCTGTCAGAAAGGATGCAGCGTCACAGACTTGGAGAGAAATGACACCAAGCAGGATCGTCAGGATGATTCAAGCTCTGACTGAGACAAGGCTCTGGGCCTCTCCTGGCTGCACCTCTGTTATGGAGAAGATGAGGGGCATCTGGCTATCATGAATGGGTGCCCTAAAGCAAGGACGATAGTCAACATCTTTAGCAATCCACACAGCACAGGCACCACCCAAACAGAAAGGTCTTCAGCTATAGCTGGGGCAGGGACCTAGCTCTCCATTCCAGCTGCATTTAGCTTTTAGCGGCTGGGAGCTGCTATGAGAGGTCCCTGATATGAGAAGGGCAGTGAGTAGGAGCAGACAGGAGGCTCCAGGAAGAAGCTCCTTACCAATTAGCTCGTAAGGATTTTAATATGTTGATAACTTAACATGTTTGAGCTATTCCGTTCATCCCCTTTGATTCTAACTCACCGGGAAATCCCTGGATTGGAATGCAGTTTCCCATATGCTTTGACCTATAGGGAAAGAACAGTCATGACTGGCTTATATAATTGTCAGATAGCTATTTTTCAAGGTAAACAGAGTTTCTGCTTCATCAGTCTCTTAGGAGCCTGGTTACATTGATCAATGTGAATTCACCCCTATGAGAGAAATACACTTTTGGCTTGCTGACAAAGTCAATTGCCTCAATTACAAAAAAAAAAAGATTCCCAAACTTGCCCCCATGGAAGCAAGCCAGTCAGGATTGGAAGCAGCCAGCCAAGCTCTTTTTCAAACTTAGAATCAGTGATCCAAGGGTTCTTTCAGTATTTTTCCACAGGATCTCTGGCTGAATTTCCACAGCATGTGAAAATTCAGCTATAGACAAGACAGCATGATGCAGTGATTTTCTTTTTCTTTTCTTCCCTCTCTCTCTTTTTGCACATTTTATTTTAGTAGCACAACTCTTATTTTCAAAAGGTCTTACAAAGGACCCCAAGCTGCAGATATGCACATCTTCACATCAGGCGTCTCTACTTGGGTGACTGACAGGCGCCTCAAGCACAAGATGTCCAAGGAGCACTCTGGATGCCCTGTACCGCCCCTACCCCCACACCTGCTTCTCCCCAGTGTGCCCTCATCTCTCAGGCCTAAATTCTAAAATCATTCTATTCTCAGGTCATCTCTTATCCTCAAACTCCTGCTTCCCACTACAGAACATATGTAGATTCTCATTCCTTCCAAGCCAGGGCCCACATGGCTGAAACCTTGTTTTCAGCCGCCATTCCTTCTTACCTGGATGACTGCGAGGAACTTGTAATAGGTCTTCACACTTTTATTACTGCTCCCTATACTTCCCTGGATTCGAATGCAGTGTCACATATGCTTCTATCTATAGCGGAAGAGCAGGCATGGCTGGCTTACATAATTGTCAGATGGAGCAACATTTGCTCCATTTAAAATTCCTTTTAGATGTCTAGATTTTAGAATCTCTACTTGTTAATGATAATATAACCATGACCAATGATTACCATTTTAAACATATTATTTCTCTATTTAGTGAATAGAGAAATAATATTCTCTATTTAGTAGATCAGATCATTATTTCCCCCTGTTCAAAGTGCTCCAGCATTTCCCATCACACTTACAGTAAATTGTAAGCTCCTTACCATGGTCTACCAGGCTCTCTGCCATCTGCTTTCCTGGTACCCCATTGGCTGAACCGCCAGCTGCTCTCTCCTTCACTCTTGTGGCTCTAGACACACTGGACTTATTGTTGTTTCTCAAATGTGCCAAGCTTGTTCTCTGCTTTGCATTTGCTGTTTCCTCTGTTTAGAACCTCTGGTGTCCTTGACTTTAAATGGCTCACTTCCTCAATGCCAATCAAGTCTTTACCCAAAGTCTCTGCTTTTGCTCAGAGAGACCTTCCCCTGCCACCTCTTTAAAACAGCCTGCCTCACTCTCACTCTCTAGCTCCTCGGTGAGCCCCTGTCCGGCACACACCACATTTCATAGTGGATGTTGTAGGTGTGCCGCTCAGATCCCCTGGCAGGACCAAGAAACACTCGTTGCCTTAGCTGCTGGGAGTGCTGGCACCAGCAGCTCACACCTGAGACACTTTCCAGACATTGGCCTCTGCCAGAGGAAGCTGCATCACCCACATGTATGCCCACTTCCTGGAGGAACTTGCATCCAATCAATGGCTGGTCACGTGGGAGTGCAAATGCCCAGTCCTCTGATCTCCATTAGGACAACACTGCTTATTGTCCCAAGCTGCAAAGCTCCCCAGTAGGAAGGCTGATGCTTCTGTTCAGCTTTTCCGTCTGTCCATACTGCATCCCGCGCCATTTACATGTGTTGCTCCTGAGATCACTCCCCAAAAAACTTCCTGCAAATCTCGTCAGAGTCTACTTCCTGCAGAACCTGACCCATGGGCCTCTACCCCAAATTAGGAGTTTATAACTTCCTTGTTTATTTCCTGTCTCCCCAACTAAGACTTAGGTTCTGTTGCAGCAAGGAAATGTCTGTCTTAGTCTCCTGTCTATCCTGGTCCAGATGCCTAGCACAGTGCCTGGAATACATGGAAGTTCAATAAGTATTGAATGAATAAATGAATACACCCCCCAATCTATATAATAGATATAGGGAAACTATTACCTATAGGGCCCTCCTCCCTCTGCCACTCCTCTACCTACCACTGGAGAAGTACCCAGGGCACCTCAGCGGCACCTTAGGGCAGAGTCGATTTTAGAATCAGGAAAGCAAGATTCATAGCAGCTTCCATCACTAGCAAGCCCTTCCCAGTATCTCCTTGAGTCAGCACTGGGCCTTGCAGGCCCTTTAGCTTGTTCATCTGTGACAATGGGCCCCACACTCTGCTCCTGGAAAAGCAGCTGGGAGATTGGAAAAGCTAGTTGAATTGGTTCATTTCCCTGAAGCCAGTGATAAATCCTAGGGGTCTGAAGAAGGGTCTAGGGGATCTAATGCCCCAGTGAGATCCGGGGTGGGAAAATTGACCTCAGACTCTGAACCTCAAATCAAGAGTGGATAATTTTTACTACAGAGCCTGGAAGGGAGACTGCTTGGGACCTGCCGTAGGGTGACTCCTGCTGGCCCCTGGGGAGCCAAGTCTTATTCCAGTAGAATGTCCAGGGAGCCGTGTGCCCTGGTGACAACTCACTTTCTCCTGCACCTTTAGAGTAACTCTCCTTGATTTTCAGGATTGGAATTCCCTGGAATGTTCAATGTATCATCATTTCCAGGACATAAAGAATGTTTCTGGGTCAAGAAAGTGCCAGAGGTGGTTCAATGCACATCTTCGTTACCTAATTGTTTCTTCCTGGTCTCTTCCCCAATTGCTTCCACATCTGATAGATTTTCTCTGCTTTCATACGTGTTTTTGACAGAGACGGGAGCAAGGCTATCCATGTGCTTTAGATCTCCTGACTTTTCTTTTTTTTTTTTTTTTTTTTTTAGATGGAGTCTTGCTCTGTTGCTCAGACTGGAGTGCAGTGGCATGATCTCGGCTCACTGCAACCTCCACCTCCCTGGGTCTAGCAATTCCCCTGCCTCAGCCTCCCAAGTAGCTGGGATTACAGGCACATGCCACCATGCCTGGCTAATATTTTTTGTATTTTTAGTAGAGACAGGGTTTCCCCATATTGGTCTGGCTAGCCTCGAACTCTTGACCTCAGGCAATCTGCCCCCCTTGGCCTCCCAAAGTGCTGGGATTACAGGCGTGAGCCACCACACCTGGCCCTGACTTCTCTTTTGAGCATGGGAAGTTGGAGTTAGATAATGCAGGGAGAGCTTCTCCCCGCAAACCGGGGAGAGAGATGTGACTGGGAATGCCTGCAGAGGATGGTGACCCTCTGTCCTCAAAGTGTGTGAGACAAGCTCTGTTCTCACCGGCCTCTCGGCAAGAGGCCGTCCATTAGATACCTCGCATCTGGGTAGACAGCCAGCAGCAGCCGTGAGAGGAGCTGCAGCTTGGATTTCACTTCCTCCAGCAGGCAGCCAGGACAAATGCTGCTACTCATTCTCCAGGAGGTTCCAGGATGATCCAGCCATTGTTCCTCCTCCACAGCAGAAGGACAATTACCCAGAGTGGACCCAGCAAATGTCTAACAGGCTCTGAGACAGTCTGGACACATCCATAGTGGTCATTGGACGGCTCATTACACACTCTCAGAGGAGACTGGTCTCGGGTCCCTAAGCAGGTTGAACTGATATTGGCAGTGGCCCGGGAGGCAGGAACATCCATGAAGGACACAGAGGCAAGAGGGGGCTGAGGCAAGAGGAGGAATGCACATCTAAGGTCTGGAGCCAGCCAGAGAAGATACATCTCCTCCTCAGCACCGCTGAGGCCACACAGCCGGCCTTGTAGGGAGATACCTCTTAGAACCTCTGAGACACACATCGCTGGCTTGAGTATAAATGTGCTGGAGCACCTGTCATAGAAATCGGTGAGCAAACATCCTCCTAGAAAAGCAGATAATGCCTCATCTCTGCCATGGCTAAATTGATTCTCATCACTATTCTAAATAATAAAACCATTTTACTAGCACATAATGTCCTCATCAGGGTATGAGACAGGCCCCAGGCTCTATTCTTGGCCCTGACACTGATTTGGTTGAGTGACTTAGTAATCTAGGCAAGAGCTGCCTCACTTTTTTTTTTTTAATTAAAAATTATTTTAGGCCAGACACAGTGGCTCACGCCTATAATCCCAACATTTTTGGAGGCTGAGGTGGGAGAGTTGCTTAAGGCCAGGAGCTTGAGAACAGCCTAGGCAACACACTGAGACCCCATCTCTACAGAACAAAATAAAAATAAAAAATAAAACAGCCAGGCATGGCGGTGCACCAGTAGTCCCAGGTACTTGGGAGGCTGAGATGTCAGGATCACTTAAGCTAATTCACACTCCCACCAACAGTGTAAAAGTGTTCCTATTTCTCCACATCCTCTCCAGCATCTGTTGTCTCCAGATTTTTTAATGATCGCCATTCTAACTGGTGTGAGAGGATATCCCAATGTAGTTTTGATTTGCATTTCTCTAATGACCAGTGATGGTGAGCACTTTTTCATATATTTGTTGGCCTCATATATGTCTTCTTTTGAAAAGTGTCTATTCATGTCCTTTGCCCACTTTTGAATGGGTTTTTTTGTTTTTTTCTTGTAAATCTGTTTTAGTTCTTTGTAGATTCTGGATATTAGCCCTTTGTCAGATGGATAGATTGCAAAATTTTTTTCCCATTCGGTTGGTTACTGGTTCACTCTAATGATTTTTGTTGTTGCTGTTGTTGTACAGAAGCTCTGGAGTTTAATTAGATTCCATTTGTCTATTTTGGCTTTTGTTGCCAATGCTTTTGGTGTTTTAGTCATGAAGTCCTTATCTGTGCCTATGTCCTGAATGGTTTTGCCTAGGCTTTCTTCTAGGGTTTTTATGGTGTTAGGTTATATGTTTAAGTCTTTAATACATCTGGAGTTAATTTTAGTGTAAGGTGTCAAGAATGGGTCCAGTTTCAGCTTTCTGCACATGGCTAGCCAGTTTTGCCAACACCATTTATTAAACAGGGAATCCTTTCCCCATTGCTTGTTTTTGTCAGGTTTGTCAAAAATCAGATGGTTGTAGATGTGTGGTGTTGCCTCCAAGGCCTCTGTTCTGTTCCATTGGTCTATATCTCCATTTTGGTACCAGTACCATGCTGTTTTGATTACTGTAGCCTGGTAGTATAGTTTGAAGTCAGGTAGCATGATGCCTCCAGCTTTGTTCTTTTTGCTTAGGATTGTCTTGGCTATATGGGCTCTCTATTGGTTCCATATGAAGTTTAAGGTGGTTTTTTCCAGTTCTGTGAAGAGGGTCATGGGTAGTTTGATGGGAATAGCATTGAATCTATAAATTGCTTTGGGCAATATGGCCATTTTCACAATATTGATTCTTCCTAACCGTGAGCATGGAATGTTTTTCCATCTGTTTGTGTCTTCTCTTATTTCCTTGAGCAGTGGTTTGTAGTTCTCCTTGAAGAAGTCCTTTACATTCCTTGTTAGTTGTATTCCTAGGTTTTTTATTCTCTTTGTAGCAACTGCGAATGGCAGCTCGTTCTTGATTTGGTTCTCTTTTAATCTGTTATTGGTGTATAGGAATGCTTGTAATTTCTGCACATTGATTTTGTATCCTGAGACTTTGCTGATGCTGCTTATCAGTTTTAGGAGATTTTGGGCTGAGACGATGGGGTCTTTTAAATATGCAATCATGTCATCTGCAAATAGAGACAATTTGACTTCCTCCTTTCCTAACTGAATACCCTTTATTTCTTTTTCTTGCCTGATTGCTCTAGCTAGAACTTCCAATACTATATTGAATAGGAATGGTGAGAGAGGGAATCCTTGTCTAGTGTCAGTTTTCAAAGGGACAGCTTCCAGTTTTTGCCTATTCCGTATGATATTGGCTGTGGATTTGTTGTAAATAGCTTTTATTATTTTGAGATACATTCCATCGATACCTAGTTTATTGAGAGTTTTTAGCATAAAGGGCTGTTGAATTTTGTCTAAGACCTTCTCTGTATCTATTGAGATAATCATGTGGTTTTTGTCTTTGGTTCTGTTTATGTGGTGGATTACGTTTATAGACTTGCGAATGTTAAACTAGCCTTGCATTCCCTGGATGAAGTCTACTTGATCATGGTGGATAAGCTTTTTGGTGTGCTGTTGCAATTGGCTTGCCAGTATCTTATTGAAGATTTTTGCATCTATGTCCATCATGGATATTGGCCTGAAGTTTTTTTTTTTTTTTTAATAATAAATCTCTATATAAAATCCTTCTAGCCAGAATACCTGGCGGTGCTCCTGTCCCCTGACTGGTCCCTGCTGAATGCACATGGTCATGAAACTGACCCAATTTTCCAACAAGCTGGATGCCCATAGAAGCGGAGCTTTAGCAACTTACATTTGTACAATGAGGCTCACCTGCTGCTCTGGACCAACTCCTCTCCCTAGCCCCTCCTGTTTTCCTTTCCAGCTATGTAAACCCCTAACTTTAGTCATGGGGGAGGGACAGAGTTGAGGCT